CGCCCCATTCCACGTCCTCTTCCTCTTGCCGCCACTGAAACAATGAAGAGAGGTCAGTGAGGCTGGGTGCTCCTAACACGCACTAGCTCAAGCCTGGGGGTCATCAGCTCTGGAAGGGGCCCAGAAGGCCATCTGGACAACAGTACCCCGAGTCAGTATTTGTCGTGTGATAAGGAGGAAGAGGAGTGGAAGGTGGCACTGATACCTGGTGTCAGGTAGCACTGACAGCACAGCAGTCTGACTACCACAGAAACGACGAATTCTCAGCTATTACAGATATGCTGTTGGGAGTTGACTCCTAGCTGAAAGTGGCTATCATCTTTGCAGCCATCTCGAGCCACATATCCTGACAAGAGACTTGTTTTCAACAGCTCACAACAGCTGAGCACACTCTGATAAGCATCTTGTTTTTCTTGCATATTTTGTTTTGCTGTTTAGTGCCCCCAACTGCAAGGCACAGTGGTAAAGCGTATAAATACCCAGGATTTCCTTTCAATAAAAGAGACTTGATCAGACCCTCTGTCTTGTCTCCATTCTTTGCGTCTTTTGTCCCTCCATCCCCACTCTGTCTCTTGCTAGACCCTGTTGACTGACTGGTGGACCTACGCCATTACAGATGTATTCAGTTCACTTTGTGTGGGTAAGAGGAAGGGCCATGTGCTGTAGGAACATATACAGAACATAAGATGACTTCAAATGCTGTTCCTCACGTACCATCACTACTGTTTCTTTAGACAAGGTCTGTCACTGGCCTGGACCTGGCCAAGTAGGCTAGACTGGCTGGTTAGGATGCCCAGGAGTCTATCTTGGTCTCGTCAGTACTAGGATTACAAGCAGGTACTCCCACACACAGACTGAACTCGGGTACACATACTGTGTGATAAGCTCGCTACTCACTGAGCTATACCATCCTGGCTCTCAATTCAGTTTTACAACTCTGAAATACAGACACTTAAGTGCTAGCTAGCATCTGTTAATTCTGAGTACTATTCTGGGTACTATTCTTTGAGGGTTTTTTTTTTTTTTTTTGCATGAAAGAAATGTTTAGTAACAAAATAACACTACCCATATAGACGCACGAGACTTCCACTCCATGACCCAATGGACCTAGGAGGCTAGAAGCTCTATAGAATGGATATTCAGGAAATTCTGAGGACTGACAAAACACGTCTCAGTCTTCTCTGTTCTTCCAGAGACTGTGGGAACCTACATACTCGCTGACAGGGCCGGGAGCCAGGGTCTGGGAAAAGCACAGGTGGCTCAGGGCTGCAGTCAGTGGGTCTGGGCAAACTCACTGCCGGAGGTCCACAGCAGTGTGACTAGTGAAGATGGACAGCTACTTCACTGTGACAGCAAGAGCAGCCCTCTCCAAGGCAAAGGGAACATTTTCTCTTTTTAACAGTTTATTTGTGTGTGTGTGTGTATATTGTGTGCACACAGAGGTCAGAGGACAACTTCTATCAGGCTTGTGCGACAACCACCTTTAACACCAAGCCATTACTGGTCAAAAATTTTATCAGCTTTTTTTAGAAGTCTTAAAACAACCCCCACCCCAACCTATTTTATCTTTAAGCACAGAACCTACTTCCCATATAAAACACTAATACATGCGCTGAAGATACTGGTGGAGGACCCAGGGCCTCTCACACCATAAGATCTCTTTTCCAATACCAATGCCGTTGCTTTCAGGACTATGCTTTTGTGCCTAACAACGTGGCAGAACTTTTCAGGGACTCAAATGCAAGCCGTAATTGAGCTAGCCTCCAAGAGCAGCTAAGATGTCTCTGGGAGACAGTGTGGTCAGAACTGCTGGTATGTGTCAAAGGATGGATTTACTGCCAAGTTTAAGAAAATATGAGGGGGCTGGAGAGATGGCTCAGTGGGTAGGAGCACTGACTGCTCTTCTAGAGGTCCTGAGTTCAGTTCCCAGCAACTACATGGTGGCTCACAACCATCTGTAATGGGATCTGATACCCTCTTCTGGCATGTGTCTAAAGATAGTGACAGTGCATTCATATAAATAAAATTGTAAAAAAATATTTTTTAAAAAAAGAAAAGAAAGTATGAAACAAGGGGTGACAAGATGGTTCAGCAAGTAAAGGAGCTTGTTGCCAATCCTGCCAACCTATGTTCGATTCCCAGATACTCCGTGGTGGAGAAAACTGACAAGATGTCCTCTCATCTCCGCGTCTGCCCCGACTCCTCAAATAGCTAATTCAATTTTAAAGAATAAACAAAAATAAACAAGATGGTGCTAACTAGAGGGCTGGGGTGCAGCTCAGTTCGTAGGGTGCCTGCCTGTTGAGACCCCGTGCTCATCCATAAACTAGGTGGGATGGCACAAGGCCTTGGGAGCTGGAGGCAAGAGCTAAAAGGTCAAGGTTTTTCTAGCCTGGGCTGTCAAGCTCAAAATCTGTCTGGAACACACAGAGGCATTAGAAGATAGCGCTTCGTCTCTGTGCTGCTGCTGTGGAACATTACTTCCCAGACATGACATGAGATGACAGCAGCTGTGGTAAGCCAGAGCAGACCCTCACCCCAGATGCTAGCTGCTCACTCTTCTGACACACTCTCCTACCCTCCCAACCCTGCCCCTCCCAGCTGCAGTCCTGGGAGGTGATAGAAAGTGGATGGTTAACTGACTGGCTCCAGCGACACCACAAGGGCTACCACAGTCCTGAGCAACCCTAATAGCTCACTGGTTTATCAGGACAGACCTGAGTGCAACTGGTTCTTTCAGTCTTGGGTGAATAGGAAAAAACAAATTGCGTGTGTGTGTGTGTGTGGTGTTGTGTGTCACACACAGTTCTGGGAATGCTACTGAACATTTTCAGGCATTAATCCGTATCCTCACTAGACCAGAGCAAGTTACCCAGTCTTCTTATATAGAGTTTCTGAAGAGGAAGGGCCTTCGCTATAGACTGTATGACTTAGAGTTCTCTCTGCTTGTCCCTCCAAGGTCTTGCTATGTATGTGTTGCTCAGGCTGGCCTCCAACTCACTGTATTCTTTCTGTCTCAGCCTCTTAAGTGCTAGGATTATAGATGAGAGCCATCACACCTTGCTTGAGATTTTAGATTTTACACTAAACTCTGTGATGATAGGATCAAGTAGGACAGGGAAAGGCCCCATTACCAAGGATTTCTCAAACCTGGGGATAGACCAGGCCAGGGCATAGCAGCGAGTGTGGAGAGCGGTGCAGTCAGATTCACCTGTCCCCATGCAACAACAGGGCTTTTCCCTAAAAGAAACAAGGTAAGCAGTAACTCTGAAGCAAGCCCAGGGTACTTACCTTGGGCCTTCAGGATAGCAGCTTTTCCTCGGCCAGCCCCTGAGCCTTGGTTTTTATTTTTCATGCTCTTTAACATGGGTGCATTTTTCAGCATGTCAGGCAAAATCAGAAATCGGATCTTGCTGCCACGTATGTAAACTTGTTCCAGCTGTGCCACTCGGCCATCTCTGTATGTGACTGTGATATTGGACATCTAGAAGAGAATCACCAGTTTATTTGTAAGGTCATAGCACTGGAGCACACAGAGCCAGAGAGCCTTAACTAGAGTTAGTTTAGAAATACAGAACCCTGAGACCAGCATAAAGAAAAACAGCAGACAATGCCGGTGAACTACCCTAGCAATGGCTGGTGCTTTCTGTGTGCATCGGGGACTGTACACTTCATAGAAACTGCAGGCAGAAGTATGAGTCCTCTCATTTTTACATATTGTGATCAAACAAACCCACATCAGACCACTCTGAGCTCTGATGCAGAGCCCAGCGCATCTGCCTGGGCCAGGCTGTGAGTGACAGGTGATAAAGCCTTTCTCACTCCGTGTCTAAAGTGCAGCCTGGGGACCTGCTGGCACTCCAGCTGGAGCGGCATCTTCAGGGTCATATACATAGGCAGCAAACATAGCTCTGACTCAGCATCCATTAGGAAGGCGGTGACTAGGCTAGGACTGAGAAGCAGATATGGTAGTGTCTGCTCCCAGTCTACACAAGGAGAGGAAGACCTGAGCAGAAGCCTTCAGCACTCGTGGACTGAATCGGCACATCTGGACAGCACTGAGGACGCTACAGAGAGCCGCCACTCAAGTTTGTGGATGGAGAGACGCCTAGCAGGGCTAAGGCATGGGAGGACAAATGTACCAACATGAGTATGTGGAGGATGAAGGGAAGGAGGAATCTCTGAGTCCAGTCAGGAGACCTACAGGGAACAGGAAAGTGATATAAACCTGCCAGCACCAAATCCAAGACATGTCATTTTTACCACAACTGCTTAATTGTTTTCTTTTCTTTTTTTTTTTTTTTCTTTTTGGTTTTTTGAGACAGGGTTTCTCTGTGTAGCCCTGGCTGTCCTCGAACTCAGAAATCCGCCTGCCTCTGCCTCCCAAGTGCTGGGATTAAAGGCGTGCGCCACCACTGCCCGGCGCTTAATTGCTTTCCTGTGGGCAGAAAAGACTAGACTTTATCTAGAGTGGGTGAACCATGCTGCAAAGATGTGCCAGCTCCCAGATTTCTTATACAATTTTAATCATGTATATTGTTGATGTACATTGGACATATTTCCCTGCCCACTCCCCCCTTTCTTGTCTTGCTTCTCCTCCCCACTGTTAGCCCCTAACCTCCAACAACTCAACTTCTACTTTCACTTTCTATATACATGCATAATTTTATGAGTATAAAATCTAGGAACTACGAATGAGAGACTGGATTAATCTGCTTAAAGAGCATCTTGAGGTGCACGGTCTCCCAGGAGCAGCTCCTATGCTGCTGCCTCACACTCCTTTGCTCCTTCTGAAGGGCCAGATGGTTTCTGGTTGAACACCAATGTGAAAACCAAAACCAAAATCCATCAAAGCTCTGAGGCTGTCCTCACTGTATTTGAGCAACGAGAATGGTTTCTAGGACTGCAAACCACTGTTCCCGTTCTACATTCAAGGTCAAGAGGATACCAGTTTCCCACCAACCAGTTGCAGGTTTCCTACTGCCATTCCTTAAAAATCTCAGTTTCTAAGTCCTTGCCACAGTCCCCTGGACAAGTACCAGGATGTCTGCTACCACAAATAAGTAGTTATGGGTTAGCTTACCCAACTGAAAAACCCAGATTCCAACCAGTCCCCTCAATTCCAGGCATCATTGTGACTTTGTAGAAGACACTGAAGTGGTCAGAGGACCTCCAATGAGAACTGGGTTTGCCACCTCCCAGGTGTGTAACCCTGAGCACATCTTCAGAATCTTCTGAGTCTCAGCTCCCCTACTAGAGGAAATACAATATAACAACAGCCATTGTTTCCTGAGCACAAATTCAGACAGCAGGTACTGTCTCAAATGGCTGATTTTAGATCAGGAAACCCAATAGGAGACACAACCTGTCAGAGGCAGATCTGTTCCTGAAGGTTCATGCCTTTCCTCACCCTGTACTCACAAAGTCACACTGCCTTCATGTGGTTTGTAAGTTCAAACCCAGGTCTCTCTGACTCTGCACTATTCCCTACCTTGGGGTGGAACAGACCACTTTCCAGGAGCTGTTAAAAACAAAATTAAACAAGGCAAAGTGTGTCTAAATGGGGTTTCAACTACCTAAGATAGAAAAAACCCAGTAATGTCTGATTTATGATGTCTATTTTTGAGATGTATAATTATAAAGCTTCATTGCCCTCCCCACTGAGCATCTCTTTACTGTGCCTTGAAGATCTCAACAAGGCTGTCATACAGATCCAACAAGATTTAAACTAGGTGTTTTTATCAATGTCCTGTGATTCTCAATGTCACTTGACAAATATTCCAGCACCAACTGATATTGTTCTAATGCACGACTGTCCTGCTACTGGAAAACGGTGACATGGTCCCAAGGAAGGACCAGTGTTTCCATCATACAGCCAAAGGTATCATCTCTTAAGCAACATGTTTATCTTAATTATTTAAAGATTTATTTTATTTAAGTGTAGTGTGTGTGTGACTGCAGAAGCTGGAGAGACAGTGGGGTTAAGATCCCCTGAGTGCTAGGAACCCAACACTGGTCCTCTGGAAAAGTAGCGAGTGCTCTTAACTACTGTGCCATCTCTCCAGCCTCAAGCGCTTAGGTTTTACTGAAAGTCAGGCAGGAACACAGTTTATATAGCCAGCCACAATACGCAACACAGACCAGACATTCAACTGAAATGGCATCTATGAGCCAAGATGGAGAAAAGCACGATGCAGGATTGTGAAGCAATGCTGGAGTGTATAATATGGCATTTTGTCTTTGGTTCTGATCTCATAATTCTTTTTGGTTTTGTTTTGCGCCCCGTTTTTCTGTGTAGACCTGGCTGTCCTGGAACTCAACAGATCCAACTGCCTCCCCCTTTTGAGTGCGGGGACTAAAG